CGAGGAAATACCAGTTTGGAAAAAAAATTTTTCCACCAGCCCCTTCGAGCTTCGGCTGAGCTTAATTAAAGTTACAGACATGTGTAAAGGGCAGGGTGGGGGAGTCTGAGCTGCTCAGAAAACATGTTTTTAATTATGCTGTGGAATTTCTCCCTAGGGTAGGCCTGTGCACAGTTGAGTGTCAAGGACAAGGATGCCACTCTGGGGTGGGGGTGCTGAGCAGGACTGGGCAGGTGGGTGGGGGAGGGGAGCAGAGGCTGTCGTGAGGCTCTGCTGGGCTGTGGACAGACTCGCAGGTGGTCTTTCTGCCGGGAGAGAAGTGTGAAATGCACCCCCATAACACATGCTCACAGAGTTGGAACAATAATGCTGGCCTCTCAACAAATGTTTTTCAAAGAGTCTCACCACCGCCTAGACCAGCATTTCTCAGCCTTGGCTGCACATTGGGATGACCTGAGAAGTATGCAAACAGATCCTGACATCTTACATCCTGAGATTCTAATGTAACTTATCTGGGGCGTGGCCTGAGACCCCCACGTGTTTCCAGTGTCAGCCACACGAGAAGGGCTGGCCTAGGTCAGCAGAGGAGATCACTGAGGGACAGGGATTATAGGCAGAAAGTGGCAGCCCTACTGCAGAGACATGAGAGGTACACAGGCAAAGCGGTTCCTGCCCCAGGCCAGACAGAGAAGGAAGGAAGGAGATGTTGCTCCTGCCTCCCAAGGACGGGAGGACTGTGTAGCCTTCCTGTCCGGCATAGACCAGACACTTCAAAAATGTCAGTAAGTGAGTGTGGGACTGGCGCTGCCAGCAGGCAGGAGGCACACTGGCTCGGGTTTGGAAGTGCTGTCCAAAGACTAGGCAGGTCTGGCTGACTCCTCCCCCTGGTGCAAGCCCCTCTCGTGTCCAGAGCAGGGGACGTGAGTGTCTCATTTCTCAGGAAGCCCCGTGTTTCCAACTGGCAACTGGGCAGCTCTGACTCTAGAAAGGAGGAAGAATGAATGTGAGAGCAGGACAGGCCTAAAAGGTGCAGAGCACTAGAATTCGCACTCCTTGCTCTTCTGCCTATACAACAGGCTGTCACCTACAGTGTCCCATGACCCTGTGACAACCCCAGGAGGCAGTAGTACTAAATGGCTCGTGGTCACGGAGCTTCTGGTGCCAATGTGTTTTCTGTGCTTGACACTGTTCACTTGTCCCACCCTCAAGACTGCTCCAACTCTGGTATCAGCCCTGCCTTACAGATGAGGCCATAGGGCGTGGAGAGGCTGAGTGGGTTATCCAAGGTCACGTAGCTGAGACTGAGCAGGCTGGATGGGAACCCTGGTGCTTGGCCCCAGAGTGACCAGCTCTTAACCCTCAGTGTACACTCTGGGAAAAATAACAGCCCCGTTTCTTAGATGAGAAAACTGAGACTCCAAGGCTAAGCAAGCCCAAAAGTGGTTGTTAACCCAGATCTTCCCTCCACTCCCACATCAACATCAGTGTTTAAAATGCCAGGCCTCGCCCAGACAGATATTGCCACATGGAAGGCAGCTGTGTACTTGGTAGAAAGCCAACATTTTAAGCAATTGTCTTAAGGAAGAGTCACATGTGCTGAATCTGGACTGGTTGTCTCGTTTCCTTGGTGAAGACACCGGGAACAATTTCCTGTTTCATCACCTGCATCTGGCATTCACATTGCTATCTAGATTGTCAAGCGTGCTCCCGGCTCACCCACTGATGGGAGGGCCCGGAATGGGAGATGAGAAGCCAGGGTATACGCCTCAGGGGGTGCAGTTTGTTAAAGCTGCAGGCTGTTGGTGACCTGAGCCCCAGTGTCACCTCCAGCTGTTTCAGAGAAGCCTCCTAGATCAGCCTTGGCAAAGGCTCCCTTATTCCTGGGATATTTATCCGGCACCTATCATGAGTCCCACCTGTGTAGGTGCTGGAATCACAGGGGTGATGAGGACAGATGAGGTTCCTACCCTCAGGAACCTTACACCCCACTTGCTTATAGGAGCAATTATCTTGAAGTGCCATGAGTGACAGGAAGGGGAAATCCAGGCCACAGGAGGACAGTGTGTGTACTCAGGGGCCAGGAGTCCACAGTTCCTCCAGCAATTCCTAACCAGTCTCAATCTGCATTCCCTGGGGGGTCTGCCAACTTTCCAATAGCTAGCCAGTCTGCTTGGGATCTGTCCCTTACTACTGGTGGGAATTGCCCAGTGTCAGTGTTTGGCCGTCTTGTGGGAGGAGGTGTAAATCGGCTGCCATCCGGTCGCCAGCTGACCATTTTCCAAAAAGCAGAACATGGTTTGTCCTTACCAGCGGGAAAGGAGCAAACGTTTGCTGAGCATCTGCTGTGGTGTCCCCACTCTTCTGAGAGCCTGTTTACATTTCCTTGGAAGGAAAACAACAAAGGGTCACATTAAAGCACATGCGAAGAGGCCCTGGCTGATCTGTATATCCTGAGGTTCCATTCTCAGGCAGCTGCCTCAGCTTGCCTGGAGAGCGTGGGAGTTTCCCCTTTCCCCACCAAGGTCTGTGAGGTGGGAGGGGTGAGCAGAAGCACTCTTACATTCCCCAGAGCCCAGTCTCCCTCCTCCTTCCCCTCCACACTTCCATACCTCCAGCCCACATCCTATGTGCAGTGCCACAAAATGTGGGCTGCCACAGCCCTGGCTCCTCTTTCAGAGTCGAGAGTCCTTGAGCCCTACATGGTACCTCAATTCAAACACCAGCTCTCAACCTTGTGTTGCTCTCAGCAGCCCTTCCAGTGTAAAAGCCGTGGCAGTGTTCTCTGCTTTGTTTCTCTAAGCAACGTGAGGTGTGAAAAGAGACATGCTAGTGGGTCAGATTTCTGCTGGCTCTGCTGCGGATCACGATATTTCAGTCATTTTCTCGTTCGCTCATTCATTCGTTCCTTCAGTGACCACATTTACAAGGTCTACTAAGCACCAGGAAAAGGCCAGGCAACAGGGAGGGGCAGCGCTGGAGATCCGAGGCTGGGTTTTGGTTCTGATGCTGCATCACAGCGTCAGTCACTGCTTGTTGGAAAGGTGAGCTCTGGCAGAGTTCCGCTCATCAGAATCTGCATCTCTGTGCACAGTGACATCGAACATGCACTGGAGCTCTTGCTCGTGATGGCTAGAGGTCTCGTGCTAACGCAGCTTTCTAAACAGAGGCAGAGGAGAAGCCAGGCAGACGCAACATCTGGTTGGTATAAGTCAGGGTAGAGGTTGTGGAGGAGGAGGGATAAGAGAAGGAAGCTCTTTCAACCAAAGTTCCACTGCGTAGCAGGTGCCGAGGTGAGCTGTGTCTGCCTGGCTGTTGCCCATAATCTCTTAGCACCACAGACTTACTCTCCCTTTTTGTTGCATTTTTCCAGATTCGTTTCATAGTGGAACTGGTGTGGCCTTTATCTCTATTTCTGGTCCTGATCTGGCTGAGGAACGCCAACCCTCTCTACAGCCAGCATGAATGTAAGCGTGGGCGGCCTGCGCACACCCAAAGGGAAGGGGTCCCGGCCTTTTGTCTCAAAAGATCTTGTGTTTTTGGGTGTGGGACTGGGTCTGCTTGTCATCACTTCATGTCTATAATCCATAAAACAGATTCATCAGCGCTATACACATTTTAATGTCTAATCTGATGTATCCTAAGCAAATACTTATATGTGATTACTAAAAGATTGTGCAAGTATTTTTCATTTTTTTGTTTTTGTTGGCTTTATTTTTTCCACACCTCAACTCCCATTTGTTTTAAAGAGAATAGACTACAGATGAGTTCTCTAAATGCATCAGGGGCCAGTATAGAGAGTATGTGACACATAGAGCTGGAATAGGAGGAGGAACGCTATTCCACTACACTCCACGAGGTAGTAGTCCTTAGACCTCTGAGGTGTCGTGGACCCAGATGACCCTGTGAGAGCCTCTTACCCCTTCACCGGCTTCTGATCAGGATAGCATCTCCCTCTGGGTGGCCTCAAGATTCATGCTAAAGTGCCCGGTCCCCTGTCCTTGTTCTCTGCTCAGGGGTCAAGGTCTGCATCAGGCTCCTGTCTGTTCAACCTCGCTTCTCTCCCTCACCCCCAAGCGTCCATAACCTACAGCCCTACTGTATGCTCGGGGCAGGTGCTCAGCACGCGGTTGTCCAAGGGGTGGAGGAACGTCTTCTCCTCAGGCCCCAGCGGCATTGTGGAGCCTTCTTGAGCCGATGCCCCTCCACCCCCCACCACAAAGTGAGGTGTTCCCTCATCGCTCCCCTTCTGCACTTCTGTCCATGCCTCCATTGGAACATGTTTCTATCTCCTGCTACACCAGGGCCCTGAGGGATGAAGCCTTGTCCCGGCATTCAGCAGGGCCTGGCAGACATCGGACGCTCCCCCTTCTTAAGTGTTGATGGGTGGAGGATGCCCCAGAGGGTGAGACCCCACGATAACTCCTTCTGGTCTTCATTTCCTCTTCTTCTTTAGGCCATTTTCCCAACAAGGCAATGCCCTCAGCAGGAGTTCTGCCGTGGCTCCAGGGGATTTTCTGCAACGTGAAAAATCCCTGTTTTCAAAGTACCACCCCAGGAGAATCTCCCGGAATCGTGTCCAACTACAACAACTCCGTGTAAGTGTTGAGATGCTCCCACGCAGGAGAGGCAGCCGCACACCCCTCCATGCCAGTGTGTACCAGGGCGTATGCCCCCATATAGAGTATGCAGAGCATGTGGTCCTGAACGAGGGTTTCTGTGGCTTGCTGAGCTTCTCAGCTCCTAGGAGTAGAGCAGATTCCCTCTCCAGAACATTCTAGTAGTTGTCAGGGCACTTGAGGAGGACTCATCCAACTAGGGCCACATGGAGATCATTTCTTGGTCCTTTTACCCCTGAGGACTGGAGTCTAGTGGTGACTCCCTGCTGAGTCATGCCCACTGCTTCTGGCCATCTGCTTGGGTAGAGGTGCTGTGGGAGGAAAGTTTAATTCCCCTCACACAGATCATCCCTGGCCGATCTCTGCTCCTTTAAAAACTTTCTTAGACTCAGGGGCTCAGAAAAATGTCAGGGAGCCTTGAGAAGAGAGATGAAGTCAGCTTTACGAGGTGAAGTCTACTTCTTGGGAGAAAAAGATAAATCCCAAGTTCCCCGCAGCAATTGCTGTTGGCACCCGAGAGGAGTGAAATCTCGGTACGGTTGGACACCAGGGTTCTTACTCTGTGGAGTTGAAGACTATTTCAAGAAGATGAAAACAAATGGTCCTTCCTAAATAAAATGGCCATGCACAAAACAGTACACAACACATGACTTCCAGGAACTTATGGACTCCTGGCTGACAGCCTCTGGACTGGGGTCGACTCTGAGGTCACTCCCACAAGAAGAGAGTCCACCTTCAGAGTGTCCTCTCAGAGCACTGAGAGGATGTGATCTGGGCACATCCCAGAGACAGAAGCACAGAGATGTTGACGGGGCCATCATTCACCACCGTGCTGACCTCGGCTGCACCTGTACAGCCTACACCTGAAGGTCCCTAGCAGGCTTGTGGGGCATCAGGCTTCACTCAACTCGTATAAGCACCAGGTCAGGTGGAAACAGAGACATCTGGTTATCTCAGTTTTGTCCTTAGAGGAGATCAGATCAAATCTGCATTTGGACTAAAAAAAAGAGAGAGAGAATGTTTGGCAGGTCAGCCTCATGCTCAGAGGGGACTCCCCTCTGAAGGGGTAGTGAGAAAACTGCAGCTACCTGGGTCCTATAATGGCAGAGTTGAGTGGTCATGCCAGGGCTGTGTGGTCTGCGAGCCTATCGTGATGTGCTTGCTAACGCCAGGATTACCGGAAGGCAGAGAGGGGAGGCCTGTCCTCTTGGAAGGTCAGGGCGGTCACGCTTCAACCTTGAAATTTTCATCTACGGCCCATGCCTTTGGCTTGAGACTCATGTTCCTGAGAAGAAATGCCTGTTAGAGAGAGTCCACGGGTTGCATGTGGCAGCAGGGAGGCTTGGGCAGCGTGGGGAGGCAGCAGGGCGCTTCAGTGGGACAGGAAGGGCAGTATTTACAGATGTTACTGTGGAAGAATGTGGGCTGACACCGAGGGCAGGGGTTCCAGACTTCAGCTGCACTCAGCTTTGCGCCTGGAAAGTTGGGCTTCACATTTGCGCACACAATGAGTGAAATGTTAGATTATTCGAGGCTCTTTCGCTTGCAAGGCATAGAAACCACTCAAGCAATCTTAAGCCCTGGAAGAAAGTGTGTGATTACAGACTAGACCTTCTCACAAAGCCAAGGGCAGTGAGCCTGGCTTAGGAGAGGCCAGCCAAGAACCAAGAGCTGTCAGGAGCCCTCTCCACCTGGACCTGTGAGGCAGACCTCCCTATCTCTCCCTGTGCGTCCACTCCATTCACCGCCCTCCATGGGCCAGTCTCCAGTGCCCCTCAACGCCCAGGCTGCCACTGGTCACTGGTTCACAGACCCTCAGCTTCCTGAGTGCCGTTCGAATTCCTGGGAACAAAGTCGCTTGGTCCAGCCTCATTCTTCCTTCCAGTCAACCTTGGCAGAGGTGTGTGTGTGTGCGTGCAAATGTCCATGCGTGTGCATGCACGTATATGTGTGCACAGGGCACCATAGTGGATGAAGCATGGCTTCCGAGCCTACCCCTGTGCAAGGGTGGAAGGGCAGGTCTCAGAGAAGTGGGTGGAAACTGGGAAGACCCTCCAATAACAGCTATCAATATCATCCTATGTAAGACCTCTCTGGACAAGAGACACCAAGCATGGGGTTGAGAGGTGGCCAGGCCCTGCCAAAACAGAATGACCAAGTTGTTCACCACCCATCTGTCAGCCTGTGTGTACGGGGCAGTAAAACTGTAGGATACATAATGTAGTAACAGGGTCAGCACTTGCGATCTCAAAAAATAGCACAAGGTGCTACTGCTATTATGAAAATAACAGCAACCTCTTTATTGATGAGGCCTTGTGCTCCTTACAGCTTGGCAAGGGTGTATCGAGATTTCCAAGAACTCCTCATGAATGCCCCCGAGAGCCCGCACTTTGGCCATGTTTGGGCCGAACTCCGCACCCTGTTCCAATTCATGGACACTCTCCGGACTCGCCCTGGGAGAATTGCAGGTGAGCTGACTTCAGAGCTCAACCGTCACTGGTTTCACGCATCAGAGGGACTGAGAATACAGGAAAGAGGGGGACAACATAGAAGGCAGGAAGGATGGGCTCTGGAGGCCTGGGAAGGGTCCCCTTGGTGAAGATGCCTCTTCCTCCACGCCAGCCTAGGAGGGAAGAAGTTGGGAAGGAGGGCAGGAAAAGTCTCGTCTCAGGCAAGTCTGGAGACAGAAGGACGAAGGCTAAGAGAGCCGGTGCTCTGGAACATGTGAGGCTTGGTGAACGAGCAGAAGCAGGGGAAAGGGCTCTGCAGAGTTTGGGAAAGGTGTGGAACAGTTTTCAGAGAGAGCCAACCAGGAGCACACAGAGACATCAAGGGAGTCAGGTAGGTCAGAGACCACATGCTGCCATGACATAAGTATGTGTAATTGTATGACTTCTCCCAGAATATCTAGCATCCAGACCCAGAGGGTGAGCGGGTAGAGAGTGGGGTGATATGGAACTGGGGCATGGAGGGGCCACCACAGATGTCAGGCAGGCCAGGGCTGAAGGCGGTGCATGAACTGCATGCATGAGGATGGGCAAAGAGCCAGTGGTGCTGAGATGGGCTGGGAGAATGGAACGATGGGAAGAGGTCTTAGCGGGTCCCATGACCCTGCTTAAGTGATGAGAAAATCAGCAAGAAGGAAGGATTGATGGCTGTGGTCAGAAAGTGAAACATGCACATTCAGGCCTTCCAAGGCAGGCAGGGTGAGAACGGCCCCCGTGTGTGGCCATGGGGAAGTGGATGAGCCCCAGGTGTGCAGGGAAGGAGCGGATTGGCCCCCAGGTGTGGCGGGGACGTGGCGAGCCCCAGGTGTAGCCAGGGGAAAATGGATGGGCCTCCGAGTGTGGCCATGGGGAAGTGAGCAGACCCCCAGGTGTGGCCGTGGGGAAGTGGATGGGCCCACAGGTATGGCCGTGGGGGTGTGGACTGGCCCAAGTATAACCATGAGGACGTGGATGGGCCCCAGGTGTGGCCGTGGAGAAATGGATGGACCCCTAGGTATGGCTGTCAGTAAGTGAGTGGGCCCCTGGGTATGGCCATGGGGAAGGGAAGTGGAGGTGAAGGCGCGTTAGGAAATGAGAGACCAGGCCGGTGGCCCCAGGTGGACACTCCATTTGTGTAGGGAGGTAATGGGTGGGCTCTGGGGTCGGAGGGCCACCTGGATTCAGGAAAGGCAAGGAGGAAGGATGGAGGAGCGCCCTCTCATGTGCTTCCTCCCAGGGGAAAAACAAGAAATGAACAAGGCCCAAGGACAGTAACAACACCACGACATCTCAGAAGTATGAGTGGAGGTCACTGGTGCCATGTCTGTAGCAGGCTCCTCTGCAGGTGGCTAAAGGGACTGGACCGGGCAGTGGGACACCACTCCCGAGAGCAGAGTAAATGAGTAGCCACGAGGAAGGAAAGCCCCTGGGAATCCAGGGTTCATGCAGCCTTGGGGGGAGGGGCTCAGAGGATGACAGGGACAAGGAAGGGATCTGCAGAGGAGAAAGGAGGGCTGCGTGGAACATCTTCTGCTCCAGGTTCCAGACAAGAAAGGTGGGAGGGTGGTCTTGGTCAGCCCCGGGGTTCCTCTCCCGAGTGTGCAACTCCCTCAACACTCAGCAAATGTGTGGCGCTGACTGTGAGCAAGGGCCGGCTAGTCCCTGGGTGTGGAGAGATGAGTCAGCTGAGTGCCTGCCCTCTGTGGGCTCCTGGCCAGGGGTAGAAAGAGACGAGCAGGCAGATGGCTACAGCGTGGAGGGCCTCAAGGCCGCAGGAGAAACTTCTCCTGAGAGAACCTGATCCTCCTGCCAGGGGCCGCCTCTGTCTCCTCGCCCCATGGGAGTACGTTCAGATTGGTGCATCCAGATTGCTTAATTGCATTCTAATTGTTTCAAAAATAGCAAAGCATGGCTGTCATGTAATCATGTCTACAAACCGCATCACAAACACTGTGTGCTTGCTCTCTGGTAGAAGGGTTATTTTGGTGAGCTCAAGTTTGAACAACCTTCTACTGTATGAGCATTTTAATAGTAAGAACCCTGTCCCCCACCGCACCAACAAGAAAAGGTTCTCCCCAAGTGTAACTGAGCAGACACCACGGGGGCTATGCAGCTCCTGGTGCAACAGGCCCTGAGCATCCAGTGGGGCCTGGGGTGAGGCAGGCGGTTCCTTTAAGTTTCTGGTCGTCAAACGGAGGCCTGCCAGGAGGAAGTGTAAAGGAAGTCATTGCAAACCACAATTTATCTGTGGTTTTCACAATGTGTGTATGAGACATCAAATCACTACTTCTTAACCCCAAAGCAGGACTGATCTGGAATTGGTGTGCAGGTGGTTCCTTCTGCAGACTCCCGGCTATGGGAGGCATGTCCTAACAGAGAGCAAATCTGGGGACAAACTTCAAGGAAGGCCGGCCTCAGCTCCCAGGGGTGGGAACAGAGGCTCTGTGGAACCCCCAGCCTTAGTGGCCATGAGAGGGGATGGGGTCCATCCCCTCATGAGGTACACAGGCTCTGAGGGAATTCCAGCCGGGACCACAGACGATCTCAGAGTCTGTCCCAGAGTCACTGTGGACAAGGACCCCTCAGGCCAGAGCCGCTGTGAGGAGGCAAGCCCTTGAAAGCAGGTGGGCGCGGACCCTGGGTGTGCATTTACCTGTCAGTCCCCGTCGCCTGGGAAAGTATGTCAGTGGTTGACCCAGGCAGCGTTTGCCTTCCACAGCAAACCTGTAGTGCTGCATTCTCAGCGGGGGAGGATTAATGGTGAAAGAGGAGAGGGGAGCCCCCTCCCCACAAGCAAGCTCTGTGGTCTCTCAGTCATCTTCCAGATACCTTCTCTCCCATGCCTCAGCATCTCCTGCACCCCTCCCACCCCCACCCTCAGCTACCCTTGCTCCAGGTCCCCTCAGCCCCACTGCCAGCCTCTAATCTTCCCATGGAAGGGAACAAGAGGAACCACATTTTAAAAGAAATGCATTTTTCT